CAGCGGGGTGCCCAGGGCCCAGACACAGGAGTAGGAGCGGCGGGCCGGTCCCACAGCGGGCGCTGGGCGTACCCGATGTTTGATGTATGTAGCGTCCAAGGCCCTGAGCCTGCTCACACGGATGTGTGAGACACAGGGGGGTGAGGTAATAGCTTGTTCTGGACCAATTTCTGTCCACACAGAGCTCTTCTCCAGGCCTGGAAAAGGGGTTGGGAGTATGTCTACCCTTCAGTCACTACAGTGGCGCAGCTGCCGCATTTCAGTGTAGACACTATGGATGCCTAGGAGAGGGCATCTCCCCTCAGCACAGGCCAGGGGTTCGGGTACCCCTGGGGCGATATCAGCTCACCCAGATATCTGCCTAGCTACATAAAAAGCACTAGCAAAGTCCGTACAAACTGAAATCTTATAGGGACAATGATTTGTGTATACTGCTCTATATAGGGCACACTGAAATGTAGGTACATTATTTATATTTCAGTTGATTTATTTTATAACTGGTAAAAATGAGAGTCGATCGTTTTTCACTGATAGTGCGCTGTGACACTTTTTTGTATTTTTAGGTCTGATTTTGTAAGCAAGCTGTTTCTAAGTGAGGTGAAAGCTGGGCGTACACAAGACAAATCAGACTCCGGAAAGGGGTACCGTAGTCTGGAAAGGTTGAGAGGCACTGACATAGATAATCCGCCTCCCCACTGGGCTTCACGCAGTTCGGATACGTCTCTCAGGGCAGGGCTACGCTTCAAATGCTGCGGGAGCACAAATGCGCCGGAGCAGCTGCACTGCTGTAGGGCTTCAGTGAAGACCCTCGTTAACCAACCTGCGTGAGAGGCGATAGCTAGGTCCGCAGAAGCAGCCGTCCTGTCAACAGAGCGCTGTCTACACTGGGGGTTAGGTCGGTACAACTGCATTGCTCAGAGGTGTGGACTTTTCACATCCCTGAGTGACAGAGCTATACCACTGTAAGTTTACAGGATAGAACTGGCCTCAGGGGTGTGGATTTACCCCTGAGAGAGAGAGCTATACCCATGTAAGTCCCTAGTGTAGACCAGGCCTCGGACTGTCACAGCCGCTGCAACAGGTTGTTTAGCATAAGTGGCTAGCAGATATTCTAAGGGACCATTCCATGTGAAATGACCCATTAACATCTCTGCAGTCATAGAACAGGCGGGGGCGAGGGGGGGAACCTAAGGGGTTGCAGACTATTGTATTAAAGCTAAGCCATAAATCCAGTGTCTTCCCAGGTTTTGTGTGTGACCTTGGACCTCCCTGTGTCTCAGTTTCCCATCTGTAAACGGAGGGGTGGTGTGATAAGTGCATGAAAGACTGTGAAAAGCTTTGAGATCTTCGGCTGCATGAGGAGACTAAAGGTTTTGAATAGCTTCTTGGTCACGCCTTGGTCAGGCTGCACATCTGTGCTAGTTTGAGTAAAGCATCATTTGAGATGTAGATGTACTTACAGAGGTGTCTCCATATCTCCCAGGCCAGGCGGTGCCTTCTGGCATCCTACACATCCCTGCTGCATAGCCCTGACCTTCCCCAGTGTCTAGCCTCGTTTGCCTGGGGGGAGGAGATAGCTGATTTCTTTCTCTTATCCCCTCCAAAGAGCTCAGGGCCCTTCTCTCTGTGTGGAATGCAGCTCATGTCAGCCTACGCTTGCTTGCTGATGGGCTCAGCAGCCCTGCAGGCACATCTAGTTTGCCATCTCTGGGAGTGGCAGACAACAATATACAACCAGGGGGCACGCTGTAGGGAATGGGTCTGAGACCCCCTTTCCCTGCTCTAGGTGTGTTAGTTTACGTTAGGTACAGTTGGGTGCATCTAACAGCCAGACACCCCCAAAAATCCTCTACCCTAGAAATATCCATAAAAACAACCCCCGCTGCTAGGGTGACCAGTTCACAAGTGTGAAAAATCGGGGCAGGGGAATAGGCACCTATATAAGACAAAGCCCCAAATATCGGGACTGTTCCTATACAATCGGGACATCTGGCCACCCTACCCGCTGCAGGCAGATACAGCCCGTCCCATTCTGCCTCTGCAGCCCTTGGGGAACAGGGAAAGCTTCTGCCAAATCCTTCCTCGCTGGAGGGAGAAATGAAAGAAGCTCTCACCAGAGGGTGCCTCTGGGACTTACAACTCACTCTGCATCCGATGAAGTGAGCTGTAGCTCACGGAAGCTTATACTCAAATAAATTTTTTAGTCTCTAAGGTGCCACATGTACTCCTTTTCTTTTTGTGATTACAGACTAACACGGCTGCTGCTCTGAAACTCTCTGCTTTCAGTTTCATTTCTCTGCTGCCTGCTCAGACGGTGCTGTATGCAGGGTTGTTGTGGGCATGTCGGTCCCAAGATATGAGAGGGACAAGGTGGGGGAGGTCATATCTTTTATGGCACCAACTCCTGAATGTAGCCAGACAGCCAGCCCCCCCCCCCCCCCCCCCCCCTGCATTGCTGGAAACACAGGAGGAAGCAGGAACAGGGCACTTAACATATATTCCAGCACAGCCTTTGAAGCACAGGTGTGCTGCTACAATGTGCCTCTGGGAACAGATATGACGATTAAGCTCACAGCAGGCAGAGGCCCTGTGACAGACATGGCTCTTAGCTCCTACTAAGTAGCGTGATGCGCACACACCAACATCCTAGGTGGGAAAATATTTACCCTGATAAAAGAAATGTCCAGTAGTCGAAACTTATTGTTTCTCTCCCTTGCAAGTGTAAACTACTCTTGCAAAAGCTGGCGTCACCCCGACAGACCAGCCTCAATTTGGCATAAGAAAGGAGAAAGAGAATAAAGGAGTACAGAGGTATAAGTAGGGGACCTACAGCACCATGATTTTTGAGTGCTTTTCACTATCTATCTGCTGGTCAGATAAGTGACAGCCTCCCAAGGCTTCTGCAGCTAAGAGGGTCCCTAAGCCTTGTCCCTTATTCGTCTTTCCGCGGAATTGAGTGACCGATCCTGGCTTGGCACCGCTGGAATCGAGAGATGCAAGGAGGGTAAGAAGCACCCACACCTGATCTCCTATCTTTAGTGTACACATATTTTGAAATAGAGCTCTATACTTTGTTTTCTTTCTTTGGGATTGTGGCTTCAGTTTTGTAACTTGTTTGTGTGTGTAACATCTCTACATTTAAATAAGTAGGCACTAGCAATTTTGTAACCACATGATTAGAATCTAGCTTAATAAATTTTGGTAACCATTTATGCATAAGCCTGACTTGTTTTCTCTGGTTTACTGTAAAGCAGCCATCACAATTAAAGAACCTCAGCCATTTTGGCTCTAAAGCCTGGCCATTAGGTGAGAGTACTAAGAGCCTAGCGTTGAGTTGTGCCGCCTCCACGGGGCAAACTCTTGGGGCACCTGTCAGTCAATCCTGGCTGCCCGCTGCGAAGGAGCTCTGAGCTCTAGCAGTTAAAGTCACGGGTGGTTAGGACCTTGGGGCATCCGTCAGCCTAGCCCGGGCTGCCCGCCGCGAAGGGACAGTGCGTCCTAGCGGTTAAAGTCACGGATGGTATAAACGGGCATAGCTGGCACCTCACCAAACATCCTTGGCCGTCGGCTAACAGGGAGGTCATATCTTTTATGGCACCAACTCCTGTTGGTGAGAGAGAGAAGCGTTCCAGCCACACAAAGCTCTTCTCCAGGTTTGGGAAAGGTCCTTTGAGCATCACAGCAAATGCCGTGTTCCTCATCCAGTACACTAAACATCCCAATAACAACGGCAGGGGTGAAACCAGACAATCACAACACTCTCGAATGAGCTCAGATGGGAAAATGATAAAAGACAGGAGGGGGAACACTTTCCACAAAGCAATCACTCTATGTCTAACTTATCAGTCCTCATCCTCAAAGGAAACCTGAACGAGGACCACTCTTTCCCTCTGCAGGCTGGTATTATGCATATACCAACCCTTAGGCTCCTTAAGTGAGTCAGGGGACAGAGTAGAATTACCTGTGGTTATATCTCTGGAAATAGTCCCCACAGTTAAGCTCTGGTTCTGGGGTTCAGGTCCCTCCCACCTGTCTGTACACCCCACTTCCTTGTATTTGAGTGCCCAGGCCCTCAACTTCTGGACACAGTGCACACAGATTTGCTGCCTCCAAGGAAGCAGAGTCCCCCAGTTCACTAGCTTTGCCTCTGCTCAACACTCTCCTTAGCACCCGGCATGTAGTTGATAAACACGTTTATCTGACAAAGTTTAAGACAGAGAGTCAAATAGAAGTAAGTCTAAGGATTGAAAACTCCTGGTTACAGATAAATGAAAAATCTAAAATGCAAGCTAGAGCCACTACTTATAACTGTGTTCCTTTCCTGTCTCATGAAGTAATTCTCACCCAATAGTCCGTCCATACAACACTTGGCCAGTCGAGAGCTGGCGTCCACGTTTCTTGAGACAGCCGCCCTGGCAGAGTGTCCCCTCTGTAATGGATGCCATCTGTGGCCTTCTGTATTCTCTTATACAGTTCCAGACCTTTTGTCTCTTCTCCTAACCTGGGACATTTTGTCACCGTTTGCACCGAGGTTCCCCCCTTTTGTGCTCTGTAAAGGGCCCGAGCCTGCCCCTTGTCTAGACTGTAAAAGCTCAGCTGGGCTGAGAGATGCCAGTTGTTCTCCCTCTTCACTGAGTTCGCTCTGAAAACCACCTCAGCCTAGGTGAGCAGTTTCCCCTCCAGCAGCTTTGGAACACAACATCCCATGTTCCATCACTCCTACAATATTTCCCATCCATACTTCCCCCACTAACCAGGACAACCAGCAAGTTCTTAGCTTTCGGCACAGACTGCACATGGCCCCCTTCACTGAACTCTCGCTCACAGGGGAGACATGCCACGTCTAGGCAAGTCCCTGGGTACAGACTTGTAACCGTGAACCCTCCATCTCTTGCCCCTATAGGGCTCCCCGGTCACAGGCAGGGGCCTGGAGTTTAGTCATTCCTGCAAGTCCAAAAGAGAAACCATTTCTCCAATGAGTGGAAGAGCCACAGGCTGAGTCCTTGGGAATCGTACAGTTTTATTGTTCGTGGTACAGAGCGTTCCCCTTGGAAACACACCCTCCGTAAGGGAAGAGCAGAGCAGGTGCTCGTTCAGAAAGGTTTCATCCTCTATAAGCAGGCAGTGGGCCTGACTCCCCACTGCTGGGCACCTGGTCTTGTAATTTACACCTGATCCATGGCACAGCAAATGCAACTGCTGTTTTGAGTGGAGAATTCTGATTCAGAGGCATCGCACACCTGCTTTGCACAAGTGCAAATGACACCACCTGGTGCCAGGTAGGGGGGAATCAGGTGAGTGTCCAGAGAAGGGTCAGTGTATAACAAAAGCTTTGAACTGCACAGCAGCAAAATAGTCCAGCTGCCCCCACTCCAGCCAAACTGGAGGCAGAGAGGTCAGTGCCCCCGAGACCGTAGCCAAGGTTGGCACAGGAATAGATCTGCCCTGGGGCAACCATAGCTGGTACAGACCTCCTTGATGGATCCTGGAGTACAGCGCTAGACTTGTCCCTGCCTTAAAGGCTTTTTTTTGTAAATGGGGAGGAGAAGGGCATTGGGGGTGCGGGGTTCAGCTAAGAGAGAAGGAGGATTGTGCACCTAGCTAGGGTGTAACTGTTTTCATTGCATAATGTGTATTTCATGGGGTCAGCCGCACCCAATCAGGACCCCGGGGCAGGAGGAAACAAGTTCAGCTCTACAAAACTAAAGCCATCCCCTCCCCCATAGCTCCATTGTCCTTCAGAACTGAGTCAGGAGCACTTGGGCTGGCTGCACCCAAAAAATAAGCTGCTCCCACGTGAGTGGCCAGAAGGAAACAGCATGCACAGCAGATTGTGCAAACACATAACATTTCAACTGGGCTCCTCCGCCTTGTACGTGCCCAGAGGCTCTGCTGGACTCAGCTCATTCTGGACTGGGGAAGAACGATCAGTGACAGACTCTCCCCAATGCACCACAATTCACCCCCAGTGCATTGTGCAGAGCTTTGCCCCTCCACCTCCTTCCTTACACGGGGACTGGAATAGTTGACAATGGTGACATTTAAATTATCCTCACCTGACACCCGAGTTAACAGCCCCTCCCAGCTGAGCAGAGCAGTTCACCCCTCAGCGCTAGTGCTCCAGGCTCTTTGCAGATTCAGTTACCCTAATCTCACCTTGGTGAGGTTTCCCCCCGACTGCAGCAGCTGGAGACTTACTTTTCAAAGGAAATTAGACTCTGAAGCCTTGGATAGCAGCTTCAACGCCGTGCTAGTGCAGCATACCAGCTCAGCCCCAACGCTGGGGGGCTGAAGGCAGCAGCTTTATAGAAAAATCCTAAACCAAGAGGTCTAGGTTACAAATGAAATTCTCAAAACTCTCCTTCTCCCAGTGGCCCGAACAGGTATTACCCTGATTCCTAGAGCGGAGAGACATGTCCTTGGTCACGGAGAACAGCTACTGTCTCCTTGAAATGCCGCGTTAACGGGGAAAGGCTATAATTCAAAGGGGCGTTGGACATTGATATGAACAACAACAAGATGCAGGGTTGTAATAATAAACACTTAAAGCAGAATTTGGGAAGAGAACCTCCACCAGCCAACCTCCATCGGGAGTCAGGAGATTTCCAAAGGGGGGCAGACTATCCCACACCTTCCTCTGAAGCGCCTGGTACTGGCCGCTGCTGGAGACGGGATACTCGTCGGGACGGACCTGGGGGCTGATCCAGCGTGCAATGCCTGTAGATTCTGGCATGTGCGGAGCTGTGTCTGGAAGCGGGTGGTGTGCGTGTGTGATATCAGGCAGGTGGGAGGATGAGCACTGTGGAGGGTGCAGTGCATGGGAGTGGGCAGCTTGTGTCCTATAGCTGGTGACAGCTAAAAGCTACCTGTGAACTGAGCCTTCTGCGCCCTGGTGCCCCAAAGCACCTCCTCCAAAGCCCAGTTCTCCCACCCAGACGCTGCTGGGCTTCCTCCACTCCTTTGCAGACCATGTCACCCCCATAATTCCCTTTCTGGATTCCCTTGTCCATAATGTCACTCAAGTGCTAGAGCCCTCACTAAGCTCCCTAGATCAGCTATGGCCAGAGAGCCCAGCCAGACTCGACAGGCATTGGGCCACAGTGGGGCTGCATCCGCTCATGCCAGGTCTCAATCTGGCGCAGCATCCATAATGCCCGTACTCCCCATGCAGCCTGCATAGACCATCGGGGGCTTGGCTGGATTCTTCACTGCCCATCCCTGCTCCAACTGTCCCCTGATCATGGTTAATCATAGAATATCAGGTTGGAAGGGACCTCAGGAGGTCATCTAGTCCAAGCCCCTGCTCAAAGCAGGACCAGTCCCCAATTTTTGCCCCAGATCCCTAAATGGCCCCCTCAAGGATTGAACTCACAACCCAGGGTTTAGCAGGCCAATGCTCAAACCACTGAGCTAGCCCTCCCCCTGTGTTCAGACGCCCTCCACCTCATCCTGCTGCCACCACCACCTTCCCCAAAAGCCAGGGCGATTCAGTGGAAACCTAAACCATGGAGGCCACAAGGGGCCCTAGAAGGCAATGTTCCCTTCCCCTGGGGGGGCAGTGCTATCCCCAGGAAACACTAAGCTTCCCACCACCAGCTAGCAACCGGCTCCTACAATGTCAGATGGCTCAGTGCTCCCTGGGACACAGCAATGGAGAAACAAGCCCAGAGGGCTTTTCATCCCCTCACCAGATAGCATCGCCAGTGAGAGTGTCCCCCTCTCCACAGCTGTATTGCCTTAAAGTGCACTAGGAACTACACAGGGCAGTGGAGACGGGGTGGCACATGTCCATTCTCCAGAGCATCCAGGAGGTGCCAGTCTGAGGCAAGGAGGGCAAAAGGGCAGAGGTTGCCAATCCTCACTGGATGAGCCCTGACGCTGGCAGCATATTCTCGCTGGCGCTGTGAAATAGGACTCGGCTCCTGCCATCCAGTTCCGCTCCATGGCCCTTCTCTGCAGGAGAGGCAGGGGTGGCATGGGTGGGGAAGGAGAGAGGAAGGCAAAAAACAGGGGACATTTAAAGCAAAGGCCTAGGCTCCACCGAGATGCCATGACAGACTCAGGGACATTTAACTTTCCAGAGCCTGAATTCCAGCTCGGAAGAAATAGAAGGAGTCTCTCTTAGGGCAAAAAGAAAAGGAGGACTTGTGGCACCTTAGAGACTAACAAATTTATTTGAGCATAAGCTTTCGTGAGCTACAGCTCAGTTCATCGGATGTACTGAGTGGAAAATACAGTGGGGAGATTTATACACACAGAGAACATGCAACAATGGGTGTTACCATCACTCTCGTTACAGTGTGTATGGTAACACCCTGCTGCTACTCTGAAACCTTTCTTAGGGCAGTCAGGCCCGCCCCCCCCCACACACACACTTCTGGGGGTCTCCAGATCTACCTAACCCCATAAGCGCTTCCTCTGATAACCACCAGAGGGATTCAATTCAACCATCTCCCCAGAACCCCGGGCAGCAGCAGCTCCTAGTCTGAACACTTGGGGCATTTCTCTGGAGGTTGCCACTTGTTGCTGGTCCCATGCCAGAGGCATATTAGCCTTTCCCAGCCCTACAGAGAGCAGGGCCTTGGCCTCACTTACCCGCCTCCTCCAGGCTGGGGAAATGTTGGAATCCCTCCAGATCTGCAGACAGCAAGACTTGGAGAACATGGCCCTGAGGAGAGGGGACAGGATGAGTGCGGTTGTGACATTCCAGCTTCCATCGTTCACAGAGACAGCAAAGACTTCCAGATGTGTATCCTGGGAGGCTCAGGAAGGGAGGCTGGGCCGAGTTGACCCCAAGAGCTCAGTCCCTAGGTAGGAGCAACACAGATGACAGCTGCAGCCCCTCCCCACGGCTTGATCCATATGAGTGAACCCCAGATTCTGCAGCCACTGTAGGAGCAGCCTCCCCCTTCTTGAGTGGGGAGGTGCAGCCCATGAGGACAGCAGGTCTCAAGACGCCATGCTCCATCTTGACCTGAGCAGCCAGGCCACAATGCATGCTGGGCCATGATTTTGCATCTGAGCTGATGGGCACTGACATCAGCTGCGTTAGTCGCACGTTAGGTACAAGCTTCAGGTTCTTGGTAAATTGCAAGTGCAGCCCCAAGTTCTCGAGCTTCCTCTGGGGAAGGAAATTTGGCTGAGCTAGTCTGGTGACCAGCCCACTGGAGAATATGGCAGCAGCCTTGGTTTTGGAAGCAGCTGCATGACAAGTGCCCATGTCCCTGGTCCGAATTGACAGCCAGTGCCCACCCCTACTTTCCAGACACACCTGCAAGCCAAAGAAGGTCAGGGTGAGGCCCCTTTTCCGGAACTCCTGCAGCAGGTCTGCCAATCCCATCACCACGGTATAATCCATGCTGCTGACGTGGGTGCAGTCCAGGATGACACAGCGTGGCGGAGACACTGAGGGCAAGAACACCATGTGGTCACCTCACTGGCATTTCCAGCAGAACATTCACCAGCCACCTGGGCAGGAAACTTAAAGCAGGAATTGATCTTTCTGAGCCTGGCAGTTTGGAGCGTTGGCACGAGTTTCGCCAAGCCTCTGTTGATCCTGCCCCACCCAGCCAGCCATTTACACTGGGCGGATGCTGAAGGCCACACAAGCCTGAGAGACAGTGAAGGATAAAGCCTTGATAGCTGCATCAACGGGTCCTGCCCAGGCAGGGTGAATCCCAGTCCAATTCCAACTCAGGCTTTCCCCAAGATCTCTTCCCTACAAGCCGCAGGGAGAGGGCTCTCAGGGGCCAGCTGGCTGATCACAGGAGGTTCAGAATCAGCTTCATGGGCATTTGCCTGAGCAGCTGATCTGAATTTGGGGTTGTATTTATCCAGGAGCTCCAAGGCTGACAAAGGCCCCCCTGCGGAGCAGCCATTCTGGCCTCCTTCATATTCAGAGGCTCAGCAGTGAGACCAGCGCTGTCCACAAGCTACAGCATTGAAACAAGGATGCGTTTGGCTTGTACCAGATGGGCTGATAGTCAGGGTAGACTGCACCGTACCTGCCAGAGCCCATCTGTGCATGGCATCTCGGAGGGACTCAACAGCGGGGAAATGCAGACCACTCGCAGGCTGCATGAGAAGCACCCCCTGCTCTGATAGCTGCAGGAGAACCAAGAGGGGAAAGATGAGAGGTGGCTGCGCTGGGTAATGTAACATGCTCCAAATTCTCAGCCCAGAGCCAGTGTCCCCCTCACAGTGGAGGCGAGTGCGTAGGTAACACAGCCAGCCATTGTCCCTCACACTGAAGGGGCGTGTGATGGAGCCTTCACCCCATCTCTCACCACACACCCATGACTCCCCCAACCGCACACAGACAGGCTGGTGTGTGTGTACACACTGGAAATGGAGGGGATCAAACACCATCAGTGCTAAGAAATGCTGCCCACACCATTCTCAGGTGCCTGCATTAACCATTTCTTTGCGTCTCTTGGACTGTCTCTCTGCACCACAGCTGGGGCAGATGAGGGCCATGGGGGTGTTAAGTAGGGATGGGGCAGGATCGGAAGAAGAGGAAGCCACACGATGCACCCAGCTATTGCTCCAGGTAGATGCCTATGGCAATAGTGACATCCTCCCACATCTCAGGGAACCCCACTGAAGCTGAACCCCACACAAGGAGGTCTGAGCCGCACCTTGATCCGAGGCCTGGCAATGGTGTAGAGCAGGAGAACGCCGGAGACCAGCATGCCGGCCATGATGCCATACTGAACCTCCCAGAAGCAGAGCAGGAACGTCACACACAGCGGCACAAGGTCCAGCCCTGAGAGTGAGACCCCAGTCATTGCCTCGTCCCATCCGTTCACCCTCCCACACGGCAGCTGTGCCGCGAAGCCCCCAGCGTCAGCCAGCAGCCTGTGGAGCCAGGGGAAGGGGAATGGACGAGGGAATAGATGCCCGTTTGCATCTGTAGAGGGGGAGCGGAGATGCCTTTGCGCGTGGCACATCACAGGCCGGAGGCTGCCGGTGGCAGGAGAGGGTTCAGATTGGGGGGCAGGAAGTCAGGGTTCAGTGCTAACACAACATCCAAACATCTTGGGGCTCCCTGTGTGCTTCAATCCCAACATCTGGCCGAGCACCACATGAGGGCTACCAGAGATGCGGGGAGGGGAGGGGATACTCAAAGCCCTCATCTCAAGAAGGGCAGAGTCTGGAGCTGGGTCAGTGAGCGGGAGAACACCTGGCCAGAATCCCCAGGCTGGGACACGGGATGTTTTACAGCAGTCTGGAAATGTGACGTGCTGCCTTGGCACTGAATATTATCACCTACACTGCCCCCTCTTGGTCCAGGGCACCCCACAGGCATCTGTCTTTCTGTACACCAGGGCACAGAGTGCTCAGAGGAGGGAGGGAACTACGCTACATTCAGGTGTGGAGCACACACAATCAAATGGCCCTCTCAGATCCCTGCGTAACGGGCACAGGTCCAGCAGAGTCTTGCCTGAGAAAAGAGCTCTGTGTAGCTTGGAAGCTTGTCTTTCTCCCCCACAGAAGATGGTCCAATGACAGATATTACCGTCCTCATGGATATTTTAACCAGGTGGGGTTATACCAAATCCCACCCTTTTCCGAGCATCGCCAATAACGGCCTGCAAGTGGCGCTGTCCCTTTGAACTTCCCCCTATAGTGAAACCATGCAAAGAGCAGGAATTCGCCCTCTGCGGGGATGAGACGGAGCCCCAGGCAGGTGTGCAAAGCAGGTTGCTCGTGGTGCCCGTACGTTTAACCCGCCACAGTGTCCTGAAGATCCTGGCGTCAAACATAGGAGCCACGGCGCAAATGATGACAGCAGCCAGAGCCGCTTTGGGAATGTAATAGAAGAGCGAGGTCAGGTAGGCCAGAGAGAGCAGGACCAGGGTCCCTGGGGAGACACAAGGCAGATGGTGAAACACAGCCACCCGACCCCAACCCACGGCATGGCAGGGACACCCCAGCCTTCCTCCCCGTACCCACACACTCAGCCCAGCCTCACACGGGCGAGGAGAACAGGATGTAAAACCCTGGGGAGGGACGAGCCCAGAGGTGGCCCTTGGAATGGCAGGAGAAGCACCAATGGAGTCCCTGGGTGAAGGCAGGGCACCTACCTGTTATCAGCCCCCCTGCTGGGGTGCACACGCCCGTCTGTGCATTCACCGCTGTCCTGGAACACAAACCAAACGCACCGTTACAGGCCGTGCGAAGGCCAGCTCCTTCCAGCTCCCCAGTGCGATGGGGGAGCTGCTGGATGGACTCAATGTCATAAGAGGGAGGCCTGGGGACCGGCCCCACTCTGAGCTCCTGTCTGTCCGGAGACTAGCCCCTCCCCAGGGCATGCAGTACACTGGGGAAGGCCCTTGCCGCCCACCCTAATACATCATCCAGGTAGGAACAAAAGCAAATCCTGAGGGTCCAGGCAGGGGGCATGAGGGGCAGGAGTGAGGGCAAAGCTACAGCACACATGGCCCACTGACATGGGGCAAAGGGCCCCTCTCCACTGGCTGGGATCCAAACCCAGGCCCTGACTGGGTTCACCCAGCCCCTTATCAAGGATCCCCCGTGCCCTGACAAGGCTGGCCTGCCGAACTGGCTGCCAGCCTCAGTGGTGCTACTCACCGCCCAAAGCTGCCGGTGACGGGGTAGGAGGAGACGAAGGAGCCCAGGAGGTTGGTGAGGCCTGTTGTGGAGGGAGAGACGGGATGTTGTGAACTGTGCAGTCAGGAGGGGAGTCCAGATGCTGCCTGGGTTGGGGGGCAGAGTGGGCCCTCCATCCCATCAGTTCCAGCTCGGTGAGGGGCAGCCACCACCAAGGCCCCTTCCAATTAGCAGAAAAGGGTCCACAGCAGGTTCAGTCCTGAGACTGGACTCCCAACCCTGCCCCAGCCAGGCTGGAGAGAGGGTCCCCCCCCCAACCCCTTACACCATGTCCTGGCAATCCCCCGCCCCCCTGGCTGAGCTCTTACCCATCGCCAACAGCTCCTGATTGGGGTCGATTCTGTAATTGTTCTGCGAGGCTGAAAGAAGGAGGTGGTGACTGGGCAGAACTTCCTACCCCTTTATCCCAGAGCTTCCCGCGAACCTGGTGCCAGCACCCGGGGGGTGGTGGTGGGGGGGGGGGGACAGCAGGGTGCATGGAGGGGCAAGTCAGCCTTTGCGGGGGAATGACGTCTGTCACAGGCTCCACGGGACCCCTGAGAAGTGGCTCATTTCACCACCTTCACCCTGCAGGTCACATTCCCCTCACCTGGAGAGCAGTAACAGGCCTTACCAACACTGAGCTCTTGCCTTGGGGCATGGGGAACCTCCCTACCGCATTCTGGTACCTAGGAGCTGCCTCACCAGGGCAATAAACTACAGGGGGAAATGCCCAGCTGTGGGGGAATGTTCCATGTGATCCCCCCTCCCCATCCACTGACCCTACACTCCAAGGGACAGCCCCCAAGCACCTCCTTCCTGCACCCCCAGCGCTTTTCTTTGACATGTGGAAGGTCCCACCCCAGGGGCCTTCCCCACTGCCGCCCGGTGGCAGCTGATTCCAGACCCTTCCCCATGTGAGGGCCGAAGGCTGTGGGAGCCCGAAACACAGCACGGCAGACCCGACACCATACCAAAGGCCTTGGCAATAGCGACAGTCTCCATCAGGCCCATGAGAGGCACCACAGCCAGTCCAGCTCCCAGGTCCTGGGGAGGGGATGGAAGAGGCCAGCATGAATATCATGGCAGAGAGCGCTGCAGACGCAGGAGATGGTGCCCTCTGCACTGTCCCCCCATCTCTGAGGGCAGCAGGAAGTGCGAGTCTCAAGAGGAAATCTCCCATGATGCAGCTCAGCCGAGCGAGGGTAGACAGGACCCCTTGCTCCACTAGCCCTGTGCACATACGTGCTGGAGGGCAGGTCACCCCAAGGCTCCATGCATCCAGCCCTGTCTGCTCCCCAACTGGAGGGAAAGGGGCAAAGGGGAGAACCCCCAATTCCCATTGGAATCCCACCTCTCTCGAGCTTGCTCAGCCATTTAAAGGTACGGTACAGAATTAGAGCACCAACCTGGCATGATCCCATCCGCTCCCACCACCACTCACCTGCACCATCTCGCTGAAGGACACAGTGCTGTTGGCTTCGGCCTTGGAGAAAGGCGGCAGCTGGAAGGGAGGGAGCCCCTGGGGCGTCGCCCCAGTGAGGGTGAATGGCTGGGAGCCCATCCCCTGGAAGGAGTAGGCGACCAGGCCAGCAAACAGGACCACAAGTGCATTGCGAGCTACATCAGAGAGGAAATTACCAGGGTGAAAGCATCGCTCCAAGCCCAGTGGGGATGGGCATAGTGGAGGGACATGCACTGGGGACTCTTTCCAGCCCAGGTGGACGCCTGCTGTCCATAAGAGCAGGGGCAGCAGCAGAACGAACCTCCCACCAGCAGGCCTCAGCCCTGCCCTGGAGAGACCCACTGTGCAAGGGGCGTTCAGTCTCCACTCAGTCCTGGCCCTTTCTGTGGGGGCTGCCCACAAGGGGCCAGGCGCTGCCGGTCAGGACAGTGGTTTGGACGCTGCCTCTCCGGGGGACAGACCCATCTCACACAAGGGCCCCTGAGCAGCCGTCCTACTGGAACAACTTGTGGGACCTGCCAGCATGGGCCGGATTTGGGCCTAGTGGGGAACGGCCCCCCTGCCCATCACATCCCCCCCCAGCCAGCCTGGGCCAGAGCACTCTCCCAGCAGGCATTTGCTGCAGGCACACAACGTGCTGTTTCTTCCTCTTCCTCGTTTCTCCTCATCACCCTGTGACCCTGGCACAAGTCCGGGACCTTACGGTGCTGCCATGGGGAAGAGCAAGTCAGAGCTGGGCAGGGCAGTCAACTAACCTGTTGCTGTGGCCCAGATGATAAGACGACTGATCCTGACGGACAACAGCTCCACCCGATGGACCCTGGGGATGTGGCCTTTCATCGCCCTGAGCCCCACAAGCACTGCCAGGCAGACCAGCCCCAAGAGAGCATCCCCAGCCCTGCAAACAGACCAAATCCGGGACATGTTGCAACATACTGCAATCACTACTGAAAAGGTTTTCTCTCGTGGGAAGGGCCCAGCCCAGCCCAGGCCAGGCTCCAGTTCTGAGTGAGGAGACTCATCTCTGCCACAATCAGATCAGTTCTCAGGGAACAGGGAGAAGGACCCCGGTCAGAAACCGGACAGGAATCAGTGGAGCAGGATCCACTTCCAACCGGAACTGGCCAGGGACAACCATTCCCCATTTCAGCCCCTCACCGCCACTGCTGCAAAGGGCATGTACTCTGCCCTCACTGCCCAAAATGGATCAAGGATAGACAGGGCTGTGCCGGGGTGTGGAGTCACAGGGCAAACCTTGTGTGATGGGGCATTCACCTCACATGAGCCCTGGAAGGTTAACGGAAGCAAGAGAGGCCAGTTAGCCATCGGCTGCACCTGGAGGGGAGCTAGGCCCCAAGGAGGCTTAATTGGGGATGAAGCTCACATGGGCAGAAACAAATGGGGCTGCTCTACAGCCAGGGAGGGGGGCTGCAGTGAGGAAGCCTGCAGCCCTGCTCCCTGATCCTAGGGGAAGGAAGCAGCCCAGGGAAGGGGCAGTGAGGGCTGAGAGAACAGACCTGAGCTGCTGGGTCGAGGGTCCCCAGATTGGAACCCGGTGCAGAGGGGAGGCCTGGGTTCTTGTACAAAGCACTGTGGGAGTGATGCAGTCAGCACAGAGGATAGTGAGAGACCCTGGTGAGACCCTGGATGGTGGTCTGGCTGGTGGGCTAACCAACAAAGGAGAGGCACTGTGGCTCCTGACTAGCAAGGTGGGGACTGCAGACCGAGTGAATGGGTCAAGGTGCTGGCCGACTGCAGGATGGGGCGCAGACAGTGGTGAGCTAATTCCCCAGATGAGCCACGAGGGGGCGCTGCTGAGCAGTGAGTAGCATCTGCCCCTTACACCCAGTAATTTCCTCCCCACAGGGGCAGCCAACAGAGGCAGGGCAAGGTGGGGCACAGAGACAACTGAGCTCGCAAGCTTGGGCTGCCTGGGCAGTGTGAGGCACAGACCGTCCCAGGGCTGGCTTGAACTGGGAGCCATGCAAGTACCTGCTTGGTGCTGGCAACTCGCTGACGGGCTCAGTGCCCTGCTCTACCGATGGGACTGGGCGGGGAGACAATTCATAGCTCCATTTTCCGCTCCATCCTCCCCCACCCCGGCAACGGGAGAGGCCATGAACTGCCAGGCTGACCCCATGCATCCTCACGCTCCAAACCAATCCAACATGATGGAGGGCATGGAGTGTAGCTTCATGCTGGCACAGGGCACTGGGCAGAGTCTGCTTGTGCCCGGTGTGACCTGACAGAGGACGCAGCAGGCAGCTGCACCTTATACTCACGGTGCCTTTCCCAGCCCTGCGTTCCCCCCACCTCCACACCAGCCACGCCAGGATGCTGGTGGAAGGAACGATCAAGGAAGAGCACAGAGATGTCTGCTGACCTGGTCTCCCCGATTCTTTGGAAGGTGTGATACACCTGCAGGAAGAACTGTCGTGGAATGTTGTGCAGCCCCAGGATGTTCTGTGCAAACAAACAAAGGCCCCATGAAAGACCAGCATAGCCCCAGCTCCCAAATGCACCTGACAGGTATCCCCAATGACAAACCAAAGCCGCATGGGATTGGACCCTTCCCTTCCCCTCCCCATGGCGCTGGCCCATGCAGTGTCTTTTGTGTCTGCTATCTGGAAGCTTTCATCAGGGACCAGACCACGTAGCTGTGTGCAAACCTCTGGCCAAGGAATTTTCTCCAGATCCTTCCTCCACCCCTAGGAAACTTTGGCGGCTCAGTGGGGAGACAGTTCCCATTCTCCCAGATGTCTGGTGCTGAGGCAGCCCCTGCCCCATGGAGACAGAGTCCTGCTTCCCATGCAAGCAGACAGGCTCTCCCAAACGTGGTATTCAAACTGGGATGCTTTCCTTGACCCACGACTGTCCAGCTGCCTCCTCTCGAGTTCTCACATGTCACCAGAGGCTGACAGTGAATGTGGCTAAAAGAACTCAGAGGTTCCTCCCAGAAAGAGCACTTGATAAAACCATAAGAGATTAGCTGATGATTTCTGTTGTTTGGCGCCTTGCAAAGCATATGCTGACCCACATCCCATTCTGATTACAGTCAACCACAAAGGAAATGTGGCAATACCTAAAATCACCACAAGGAATGAAGAGGATTGGCCAAGCCGTGGACCAGTCAAACCTCACAGCCAATCCCAGCCCCCCACATCCCTCCCCGTAGAGAAAAATCACCCACCACAGCGGTCAGAGGATACTGATTGTCTCCGCAGCACCCCCATAACCCCCGCATCACCCGAGAGGAGGACAGTGTATTGACAAGGGAAGCAAACAAAGCTTAGTCCACACAGCGTAATGACCAGGTCCCTCAGCCAATGGGCAGAACATCACCTCCACTTGCCCTAGCACTGAGCACAATCTCAGCTCTGGGAGGGAGGGAGCGAGGAACCCACTATGGGTCACTAGCATGGCAGTGCAGGGCACTCACCCCATCACACCAACCTTGCAAAATCCTTCTAGTGCGCTCATCTGGCGCAACCCTGTTTGCTTGTTTGTTTGAGGGGCCAGTGAAGTATCCTTCATGTTTCCACTGATATCACGGCGCCAAGCTAAACAGAATGTGCAGCTGGGCCGGTGAATTTTTATGACAATTTTGCAAGGCTGCATTAGGCCACTGGCAAGTTAAACTAAAGAAATAGAGAAGCCACAGGGAGGAGAAGGTCCTACCTTGACCTGGTTGAAGCTAATGGTGACTGAAGCGGCCGAGGTAAACCCTTTAATGACGGGGCAGGAAACGAAGTCCAGTAGGAAACCTGCAAAGGATGGAAATTGCTATAAGGAAGCTGCTCTCCTAGGTACAGACTGCAGCATGCACACACATGCAGAGTGCAAGGCTTTACAAATCAGAGCTGGACAACAGCAGAGACATTTCTTGTGGGGACAAGTGGCTAGAATGAGAAGCGTCATACAAAAACAAGGCCTAACATGGCCGCAGCATCTCACCGAGGTGCAGGAGACCCATGGCTAGCTGGATACAGCCTGACAGGAAGGTCAGCAGGATGGCATAGGCAGGGTCATGGAACGCATAGGAAGAGACCAGCAGCGACATAATGGCCGTTGGACCCAGCGTCACATCTTTTGAGGTCCCCAGAAGGCAGTAGACAAAGCAGCCCATGAAGGAGGAATAGAGACCGTACTGCACAGGAACAAACAGAGCCTTCAGCGCCAGAATCACAGTGACCTGGGAACCTGCTCTGACCATGCCAGGACCGGGGCATTCTGAAAGGATGGCTGTGATTGGTTAGCAAAGGGTCTGGCCAGGGAAGTATCCCAGGGGAATGTATTGGGCAATCTTTGGAAGAAATGTCTGTCACGTGTTCATCACCCTGATATCTGTACCACACACTTTCTGAAAGAGGAACGTGGCCAGTCCCAGGAGGCTGCCTGCCTTCAGCCCCCCAGTGTGCCCTGCCACTCACCTTGCCACGTGTTACTGCCTCGCTAACACCCACCCAGCCCCCCTGCTGTTACAATCTTCAGCATTCTGCCAGGATATGCAAGCACCTCCCTCCACTGTAATCACCCTCACTGTGAACAGTGCCCCCTTTATAATGCTCAAAACTCTGCATTTTTGCAGTGGCTACCATTAGAACATTGAGGTTTACTGTGTGGCAGTATTTACAATATCCTCTGTGCTGTGACGGGGAGACTCCTCCAGTACCACAGGACATTTAGCTACTGCAGCTGGGGAAGATCCAGCCTGTAGTGGCGTTGGGGGCAGGTGCTATAAAGAGGACACTGTAGACTTACTCGCACATGGAATGAGTGAGTTCTAAGCTTGGCTGTATGTATGGCCAGGTGAGGAGCCTGCATTGATCAGATCAGCACACGCCTATGCCAGGGACAGCCCAAGGGATGTACTTCTCAGTGTCCGCAGCACTGAGGCATTGGGGTCCCTTTGTGAAAAGAGGAGGGGAAACAATACGTACTGGTTGCCTCGAGATGACTCTGCAAAGGAACTTGCAACAGCTGCTTCCACCCCCCCCCCTCCCCCGGCACAACCCTCCAGCTCTAGAATCAAGCAACCCACCTGAACTGGCAGGCCGGCCACCTCGGCATAGGCCAATGCTTGCGGCACGACAGTCAGGCCCACGGTCACGCCAGCGATGAGATCGAGCTGCAGCCACTGCAGAGAATACTGGGGCAGCCACCTGAGGACAGGGAGCCTCCTCTGCACTGTGCAGTAGGAGCAGCATCGCTCGGGGGCCTCTCGGTCCCGCTCTGCCATAGCAGCTTTCTTGGGAATTCAGACCAGTGTGTACCACGCTCCAGGCTCAGCTGGGTCTCTCAGGGCGCCACTAGAATCCCCTGCAACGATCTCAGGGGACATGGTGACCGGGAGAAGACAGTCTCCTCAGCAGCACTGTTCAGTGGAGTTCTCTGGTTCGCCAACATACCTGCATGGGAAGGAGGGTCAGAGACTCGGCCTAGGCCGGGCAGGGATGCACGGGGCACTGTCTGTCCATTTATAGCACCCACCGATGGACTCCTCTCCTTCCAGGCTCCTATTAAGGCCCAGACTGAGGGACACCTCCACCTCCTCCATTCAGCTGCTGAGGTCTCCTAAGGCAGAGCCTTGGCCCTGGGGGCAAGTGCAGAGAACTTGCTGGGTGGAGTTTTTCTGCCCCCCATGGACTCTAGCTCCCTCTCCTGGAACATTTTCCCAGAGGGACACTGGCGAGCTGCACTCCAGGGCAGGGAGTGGGTCCCAAGGAGCCGGCCTGGGCAGAGTGCTGCTCAACGGGTTTCTCTCTCTCTCTCTTTGGCAAAGAGAAGGAAATAGAGAGTTTTTACATGAGGCTGCAAAGAAAGAAGGAGCCTCCGCCCCGTTCCCAGAAATGCCCAGCACATGGGTCTGGGCAGTACGTCGCCCAGCAGGGCCTAGTTTGCTCTGATTATTTTAGAAAGCCAAGGGCCGAGAACAGAGGAAGAACAGTCAGTGCTAGCTGGATCCGCGGCAGGGACAGGCTGCACACACCTCTCCACCTGCGCAAGGTGACAAAGACCCACGCTGAGGGACACAACAAACCTCATTTCACACAGGAATATCAACAAAGATACATTAGAATTGGAAAAGGTACAGAGAAGAGCAACAAAAATGAATCCGATTTCATGCATCCGATGAAGTGAGTTGTAGCTCACGAAAGCTTATGGTCAAATAAATTGGTTAGTCTCTAAGGTGCCATAAGTCCTCCTTTTCTTTTTTTAAAAATGATCGGGGGTCTGGAACAGCTTCCATAGGAGGAGCGATCAAAAAGACTGGAAGTGTACAGCTGAGAAAAGAGGTGACTAAGGGGGGATATGATAGAGGTCTATAAAATCATGTACGTTATGATGTAGAAAGTGAATAGGGAAGTGTTATTTACTCCTTCACATAACACAAGAACCAGGGGTCACCTGATGAAATACATAGGCAGCAGGTTTAAAACAAAAGGAAGCACTGCTTCACACCACACACCGTCACCCAGTGGGACTTTTGCCAGGGGATGTGATGAAGGCCAAAAGTACAACTGGGTTAAAAAAATGAGGTAAGTTCACGGAGGACAGGTCCATCAATAGCTATGAGCCAAGACAGTCAGGGACGCAACCCCATTCTCTGGGTGTCCCTTAGCCTCTGACTGCCAGAGGCTGGGACTGGACCCCAGGGGACTGAGGGGTCCCTGGATGATTGTTCTGTTCGCTCCCTCTGAAGCCCCGGGCAGGGGCCAGTGTGGGAGACAGGACCCTGGGCTAGACGGACCATGGGTCCAACCCCGTGTCCTTCTGAGAGCCCGAGCAGGGCGAGGCGCCTGCCCGCAGCACTGGCACAACGTGTACCGGGGGGGGGGGAGGCTAAGAGCCATTGATCCGCACGGTCAAACCCTGGCTCTCATGGAACCACGTCGAGCCAGGGGGTGCGGCGGCAGCACCCCAAGGTCCAGCAGCTCCGGGCGGGAGCCCAGGGACAGGGGCTGCTCTGCGGTACGCAACGCCCGGGGTGGGGGGCACCCCGCGGGGTCGGAGGGCAGGAGAGGAGGCGCCCGGGGGCCCTGGAGAGCTCTGGCTGCCCCGGCCCCCGAGGGTCGCCCCGCACGTCCCTCCCCCGGCCCCGGCCCCGGCTCCGGCTCCGGCTCCGCACTCACCCGCCCCAGCCGCCGCCGCCGCCGGGCGCCCGGACCCCGGCCCGGCTCCTGTGACGCGCCCGGGGCGGAGCCGGCGTGGGGCGGTCTCCCCGGCTGGCAGCTGGGCCGGCGGGAGGGGCCCGGGCTGCAGGTCGCCATGGGCCTGCGCTGGGCGCTGCTGCTGCTGCTCGCCCTGGCGCTGGGCCGGGGCCGGGGCCGGGGCCGAGCCCGAGCCCGCCACGTGCTGCTCATCGTGGGTGAGTGCGGCGCGGGGAGCGGGGCCAGCCCCCGGACCGGGCACCCTGGCCCCTGGGGAGCGGGGTCAGCCCCATGACCGGGCACCCTGGCCCCTGGGGAGCGGGGCCAGCCCCCGGACCGGGCACCCTGGCCCCTGGGGAACGGGTCAGCCCCCGGACCGGGCACCCTGGCCCCTGGGGAGCGGGGTCAGCCCCATGACCGGGCACCCTGGCCCCTGGGGAGCGGGGCCAGCCCCATGACCGGGCACCCTGGCCCCTGGGGAGCGGGGCCAGCCCCATGACCGGGCACCCTGGCCCCTGGGGAGCGGGGCCAGCCCCATGACCGGGCACCCTGGCCCCTGGGGAGCGGGGCCAGCCCCATGACCGGGCACCCTGGCCCCTGGGGAGCGGGGCCAGCCCCATGACCGGGCACCCTGGCCCCTGGGGAGCGGGGCCAGCCCCATGACCGGGCACCCTGGCCCCTGGGGAGCGGGGCCAGCCCCATGACCGGGCACCCTGGCCCCTGGGGAGCGGGGCCAGCCCCATGACCGGGCACCCTGGCCCCTGGGGAGCGGGGCCAGCCCCATGACCGGGCACCCTGGGGAGCGGGGCCAGCCCCATGACCGGGCACCCTGGGGAGCGGGGCCAGCCCCATGACCGGGCACCCTGGGGAGCGGGGCCAGCCCCATGACCGGGCACCCTGGCCCCTGGGGAGCGGGGCCAGCCCCATGACCGGGCACCCTGGCATCCAGGCCCTAGGGATGGCTCCTGGACTGGGCACGGGCACCTGGCACCCAGACTCTGAGAACAGCAACCAGCCCCTTGACCAGACTCCCCTGGCACCTGGACACAGGCAGCCAGACCATGGGGAGCCCCCTAGAGAAGCTCCTAGTGGCCATGAAATCATTAGCGGTGACTCACACCCATGGGAGCAGCTGCAAGGAGGGGATTCCGGAGTCACTGCTCTGACTAACTGCAGGGTCCCCGCTGCAGCCCCTGGGACTGGAACTGCCTGAGCAGCGGGAGCCGAGTGCAGTGAGGGGCTCTGCCGCCTGGTTCCCTACAGCTGGACACTGCAGGGCCCATGGCAGGATTTGAACTCAGGCTCGCAGAACAGACGCATGAGCATCAGCCCCCTGAGCTGGAGGACAGTCTCCCCGCTGGCACCTGTAGCAGACTCATTAACCTCTCCTGTGGACCAGCCGCGGGGACAAATACCCCCCCTCTTCTAGTGCCAGTTACAGAGCCCCTGGGGCATCAGAGCCCCTACAGTTGGGCCTCCCCACATGGTCCCTGAGCTCACAGCCTGTCCTGCTTCTCCCTGGGCCACAGCGGACGATGGCGGCTTTGAGAGTGGCGTGTACAACAACTCCGCCATCAACACCCCCAACCTGGACGCCTTGGCCAGGCGCAGCCTCATCTTCCGGAACGCCTTCACCTCCGTCAGCAGCTGCTCCCCCAGCAGGGCCAGCATCCTGACCGGCTTACCCCAGGTAGGGCCTTCCCGAGCCGCTGGCTCTGCTGCCTCAGGCGCTTGCTGGGCCCCTCCTAGCGCTCAGGAGAGGCCACTGGCCATCCGCATTTGTAAGGCATCCAGCAGCTTAGCTCAGCTGGTCCGTCCCTAGGCCCATCAAGGATTGTTCCCTACACTCCCTGCTCTGGGGCTTTGTCCATGGCTTAAGCGATGGGTCTTCCCCCACTTTCCCTTGATGGCCTATTGCCCAGTCCCCATGTCTGGTGCCTCCATGGTAGCATGTGCTCTGCCCATGGCACCTGAAGACGGACATGGTCTGGCTCTGCAGGGCGGCCGGTGCAGGGACGTGCGTTTCTGGCCAATTTGTCTCATTGTTGGTCTCTGTTTTGCAGCACCAAAATGGGATGTATGGGCTGCACCAGGACGTGCACCATTTCAACTCTTTTGACAAGGTGCAGAGTCTTCCCCTGCTGCTCAGCCAGGCACATATCCGGACAGGTAAACAGCCAGGGTGCTGGGAAGAGAGGGGAGGGGAAGCGTGTGTAAAGCCATTCCCCTTCCCTTCCCACGCTGATCTCACTGAACCCCTCTCTTGTGAGAGCTGGGCAGTTAACCGTGTGCCAAGATACTGCCCCACGACACAGGTTTCGTTAAGAGACACGCACACACGCTATTTAAATCAAAGGGATTGACATCACTGATTTAGTCATGATTTAAATCAGCAAGCAGGAAACCTCGATTTAAATCACAATTTTAACCTTGCTTTGCCTTTGTCCTCCTCTCATTTTCCTAAAGAACGGTTGATTTTCATTGGTTGGTAACCATTCAAACGTCAGTTTGCAGCTAACTGTGCAGCCTTCGTTTGGTGCTTCGTTTTGCTAACCAGAAGGATGCAAACATGAATTGCTAAATATTACTTTTTAAATTTAATTTACATTATTTTAATAGACAATAAGTTTAGGCCTTAACATAGATTGTCAATATCAATTTAATTTTAAATAGGTCTGTTTTTTAAATTAAACCTGGATTTAATTTAAATTTTAAAAATCCAATTTTAATTTAAAAATTTCTCTTTTTTTTTTTATTCGTCAATTTTTATAGACCCTGCTCCCACCCCCCAGTTGGGGCACTGACTCTGCATTTCTGCCCAGACTAGTCACTTTCACTTCTGTATCAGGCATCTATAGGCCAGGATTGGTTGTGCAAACCAGTGTTTCCCTGCTGCCCCAAGCATCAGAGCAGGGCAGTTCCTAACCGTGCCCCGGGGGAGCATGGAAAGACCGAAGCAGCATCCTCTGTTCTAACTGCCAGCTCACATGCTTGCTCCTGACCTGCTGGGGCTCTTTCTCCTGCAGGGATAATTGGGAAGAAGCATGTTGGGCCAGAGACGGTGTATCCCTTTGATTTCGCGTACACTGAGGAGAACAGCTCTGTGCTGCAGGTGGGCAGAAACATCACCCGGATCAAACTGCTTGTCCGGAAATTCCTGCAGAGCCAGGATAAGAGGTGAGGCCCTGCATACCCCGCAGCAGGATTCTCTCTGGGACTGAGCAACCTTGCCTCCTAGCACCCTCATCCTGATGCACAGAGTACCCCCGTGCCTGAGTTACAGGGAGATGTAGCCGTCAGCACCTTCCATCGGGTTACCAGCTCACCTGGGGGACCCTCAGAGGCTCTATGGGAACCAGCTTTGCAGCTCTGAAGGCTTGTCTTCAAGTCCCAATTCATCTCAAGTGAAATGAGCTGACGTTTCTCTGTGCAGGTAGCCCCAGGCTTTGGTTGGAGCCCATTGTTTGCCGTGAGCTAGTGGCAGGTCAGGATGGTGGGCCAGGGCTAGGGTTAGGATTGGGGTCTGTGGGAGGCATCAGGCCATGCTTGAGCAACCCTTTCCTGCTCAGCCCGGGCTGTCAGCCTCTCCCGAGCGCTGCAGTCACAAGCTCTCCTCTCGGGATTTCCAGGCCGTTCTTCCTGTACATCGCCTTCCATGATCCCCATCGCTGCGGCCACTCCCAGCCCCAGTACGGGGCCTTCTGTGAGAAGTTTGGCAATGGCGAGAGCGGCATGGGCTGGATCCCCGACTGGAAGCCCCAGTCGTACAGCCCAGAGCACGTGCAGGTAGGACAGGTCTGTTGGGAACCAGCTCCCCACGCTCCAGGCCAGAGCTGGGCAGCAGAGCGGGGAAGAAGGCTCCTGCAGGCAAAGCTGTGGGGTGTCTTGGGGTGACCCTGGCCCTTCCACCCTGCAAGGAGTTCCGGGGGGTGAGTGGGGTTAGGAGGGGAGCAGCCCTGAGCACAGAGATGGAGCCACAGTCACTGACAGGGGCTCTGTCCTCAGTTCAGCTCTGACGCCTCCTGTCTCCCACCCCCACGGCTCTTGGAGCCTCCAGCGCTGAGCAGTTGCTGCTTTTCCTCCCCCCGCAGCTCCCGTACTTCGTTCCAGACACCCCAGCCGCTCGCGCTGACCTGGCCGCCCAGTACACAACAATCGGGCGCATGGACCAAGGCAAGTACCAGCTGGGGTCATGCAGCAGGACGTGGGGGCCTGAGCCCCCAGCGCAGGGTCTTGCTGGGTGTGGGGAGAAAATCCATCCTCAGCTGGGGTGGGGGGCTGGGATGGAGGCAGCCCTCCTGCTGGGTGAACGTTCAGGTGCCCCCCAGCAGCCGCACAGCTCTGCTCTTCTCTCTGCACGCAGGGATCGGGCTGGTCCTGGAGGAGCTGCACAGCACCGGCTTGCACAACTCCACGCTGGTGATTTACACCTCCGACAACGGCATCCCCTTCCCCAGCGGCAGGACCAACCTGTACTGGTCAGGCACTGCGGAGCCCATGCTGGTCTCCTCCCCCGAACACACTGAGCGCTGGGGGCAGGTCAGCCAGGCTTATGCCAGCCTGTTGGGTAAGAGCGGTCACTTTCCCTCTGGGGCTTAGGCCGAGGCAGGGGTCATTAGGGGAGTTGGGTTGGGGGCCCCCCCATAGAGTGCTGAGTAGAGTGATGCCAAATCATGGGTAGTCATCCCCCTGCCCATGCTCACACCACGGGCATGGCTGGGGGTGAAGCCCTGGCTCCTCAGCCCAAAAGACGACTCTCTCCCCGCTGGATGGATTTGCTTGTCTTTCTCAAAGAGAGAGAGCCGTGTAATCCCCAGTCCACGGGAACGAGTCTGGTGCCGGAAAGAGGAGGACGGAGTTTGAGAGCATGAAGGTGCCCCGCCCCCAGGGAGAGGGGACTGTGGGATAGGTGGGTGACCCCATGGATGTACAGGGCCGGCCCCAGCTCCAGAGGGCTCACAAGCCAACAGGGGACAACGGCTCAGGGCTGCAGCAAGGTGGGCGGATCAGTGCGGGAGGGATGCCTGGAGGAAGTGGGTGTGAAGGAGAAAAGGGCGTTGGGGCAGGAAGCAGGAGGCTGTTCCCCCACAAGAGGAGCCGAGCAAAAGAGTGAGGGTGGGAGTGGAAAGAGACGAAAGGGGCAGTGAGAGAGGCCCAGGAGCCCTGTCCTCCAGCGGCTCATGCCGGTGACTGACTCTCCCTGGTGGCTCCACCAGAATGGCAGGGAGCCCCCCTCACTCCCGCAGGCCCCAGCTGCAATTCCCTCCATCCTCGGCCTCCATCCTCCCACTGGGTTCTGCCCCCTCTGGTCTCGGGGACTGAGTCTCCTTTCAGTGGTTGTTCTGCCCCACTCCACTTGCGGACGTCGCCCACTTTTCCCCTCTCCAGATCTCACGCCCACCATCTTGGACTGGTTCGCCATCCCCTATCCCAGCTACAGCATCTTTGGCACCAAGACAGTCCAGCTCACCGGGAAATCGCTCCTGCCAGCCCTGCTGTCAGAGCCGCCCTGGGTCACGGCCTTCAGCAGCCAGAGCCACCACGAGGCCACCATGTACTACCCCATGCGGGCTATCCAGCACCAGCAGTTCCGCCTGATCCATAACCTCAACTTCCGGATGCCTTTCCCTATCGACCAGGACTTCTATCTCTCGGCAACCTTCCAGGATCTGCTCAACCGGACCAGAGCCAGGCAGCCGACCCACTGGACCAAGACCCTACACCGGTACTATTACAGGGAGCGCTGGGAGCTGTTTGACCGGAGCAGCGATCCCACCGAGAGCCGGAATCTGGCCTCCGACTCCCGGTACGCCGGGGTCTTGGAGCTGCTCAAAGCCTATCTGTTGAAGTGGCAGTGGGACACTAACGACCCTTGGGTGTGTGCCCCAGATGGCGTCTTAGAAGAAAAACTGAGCCCCCAGTGCCAGCCACTTTACAATGAATTGTGAGTCACCACCTCACCTTGCTGGAGTCTGCATTCCTTACGCCAGCCCAGCCCCAGGTCCTGCTTGGCCCTCGGCTCCTCCCCAAATCCTGATGCAGCCCCAGAACCCCCAGGGAACAGCTAGCTCGTCTGCCAGATGAGACATCAAGTGCCTAAACATGCAGCCCCCAGGCTCCAGGGTCCGCAGAGCGACCCCACAGCCACTCCAGAGCTCCCTTCGCCCTCCATCTAGCACAGGGCGGGGCAGCAACCAGAGATGGGCTGGTCCCACTCCCCCATTCACACAACTGGCGTGTGCTTTGTGTGTCAAAACAGCATCTGCCCCTGAAGCTCAAACGGACATTTTCCTCCTCCAGTGCGGAGTCTTTGCACCCGGCAACAGGCAGCGCTGGACTGCAGCCAACCAGAAAGCTGTCAAATACATGGTCTCAAAGTCGCCGGGAGAACGTCCTCGGCTTATGCACAAGCTAACCTCTGTGCCGATCTCCTGCTGAAGGCACTTCTCACTGTAGCTCTTCCTGCGGTGGCTCCGACAGCACCTCCTGCAGCCAGAGGTGGGGACTCGTGCTGTTGGGAGCTCCCCACATTGGGGCTTTTGTCCCACTTGCCAGGCAGTCTCCAACTAGCCAGGGAGGAGCTGAGAGAGCCCACTCTCCATAGGGCCGGTACATTGGATTTGGTGTCACCACATCAGGGAGGGCCAGGAGGGGTCTGAACACACAGTGACTGTCAGTAACAAGAAGATTTAATTTAGCAAAATGTACAGAATTTACAGTCCCTGGAACAAGCACACCCTGTTCAGGCCTGGATACCGGCTATCCACAGGGCTCAGCTGCAGCAGCTCATCCGCCTGTGGCTGCAGGTCGCCGGGCATGTGCAGGGACCTCTCCCTCTCACAGTAGGACTCCACCCTGGCTCGCTGCAGCTCCTGCTTCATCAGATACAGCTGCTGGAGGACAAAGAGAGCACAGGTCCCTAGCGTTACACTCAGCTGCATCATGCCAGTTACACTACGCCCGGCGTTTACTCTAGAACCCAGCGTCTAGAGTGGGAAAGGCTGCCTTTTTTTGTGCACAGAATGTTGCATTTTGGGGAACACAACTGTTGGCCATGTTCTAGAACCCCGACTTCAGTGTTTACACCGAGCTGAGAAGACCACGTTAACCGATGAAAGGACGAGATGGGTCTCTTTTGCTCTAGAACAGAACCCTCCCCTGACCATGACTTTGGAACATGGGACCGTGCGCTAGAATGTGGCACATCGCTTGCTTTAGAACCCAGGATTCTACAGTAGCTCTGTAACAGAGACGAGATCGTTCACTCTGGACCGCAGCCCTACCCGCCTTCACTTTAGAGCGCATGCCCCACCCTTTGTTCTCGACTGCTGTCTTCTCTCTTGGATATGGGACGTGTTTATAAAGTGCTGATGCAGGGAGGAAAAGCAACGCTGAACTCTGAGCCAGAAATTTCAACACGAATCCTTGTGGTTTGTCAGCACTTCTGTTACTAAGGTGACTTCAGATTAAATGAGCAAAACATAGCGGAGGGATCCCACCTCTCCAGCCTGTTTGAAGGGCCCTTGGCACTGGTCTGGGGGAGGTTTGCCAGTTTTGGTTGGATGTATTGCTGGAGGTTTCATCACATGACATAATCTTTAATTAAAGGTTGTTCTTTCATTCCTGGAGGCTCTAGGACAATCCTGGAGGGTTGGCAACCCTAGTGGGGGAGTGAAAGCCCACGCCCACCTGCTTTTTTGCTTCGTTTAATTTTGTATTAATTTCCCAAGGATCAAAGGAGTAACTCACGTGAAAGGTCCAACACGTCCAAGAGCCACCTGTGGAATGCCAGTAAGAGAGCATGCTCCACCTGGACCCCCGGGAGCCAGAGCAGAGTCACCGAACCCCCACGCTGCAGCTGGGCAAAGAGAAAAGGAAATCCCAGTTCACACTCTCCGGGGGCCTGGGTGGGCAAGTCAGTGTCACCCTTGTATGGTACATCCACTCCCCCAGGCCTTCCTCATACACCACAGAGGTGGGGCAGGGTGCGCATGGCCCAGGGTGCTGGCCCAGCCATTCGCCCTCTTTCAGGCAGCAGTTGACAGGCTTAGGGAAGGGGACGGTGGGGTGGAGATCTAGGATCCCTCCAGCCCTGCCTGCTAGGGTCCCTGGGGGACGAGGAAGCATACGCTGTGCCGTCTGGCTTGGCAGGGGCTCTGGTACGATGCGGACGAGTGGGTCTGGATACTGAGACCGACAGAAACTCACAACCTGGAGTTAATGAGGAAGAGCCCCATGGGCCCCAGGGGGTTCCCTACCCCAGCTCCCCAGCCTGCCAGTCCCACCCCCTTCGGGGAAGCCAGCTATTGAGCTGCAGGACTGTGGGGAGCAGTCGACGTGCCAGCCCAGGGGGAGGAGGGGCATTGAGGGCCGGATACCAGCAGGGCCTGGCATCCCCGGTGGGATGACAATGGCAGGCATGTGCTGCCTTGGGCACGGCTGCTGTGACGAGGTCCCCGAGGCCTCCTCCGAGCGGCCTGGGGCTGTGCTCACCTCCTCTCGCACACACAGCTCAGCTCTGCTGGTGCTGGAGGTAAACGGCCCGAGTAAGAGCCTGCCCGTGAGCTCCCATGGCGTCACGCTGCCATGGCATGAGACAGGAAGCGCATCCGACCATCGCCACCACAGCAAAACTGACTCTGCACAAAGCCCTGCCCAACGCACAGGAAGCGAGTGCGTGAGAGAGGCATCTCTGCTCTGCCTCAGAGAGGAATCACAGCGAGAACAAGGGCTGCCCCTTGCTGCATTGCTCAATGGGCGCCAGCCTGGCACTGGCAGCTCACCCCTCCTCGCTCTCGGCAGAGAATTTGTAGACAGAAACTTGATCTTCAAGTCGCTGACTCCCCTCTGGAATAATCATTTTCCTCACTCCCGTGCCAGAGAGAATGGGTTTAACCAAAGCAGCCCACTGTGAAGAACAAGAAGAGGGGGTGAGAACAGCCCATTCCAACCAGACTTGCCCTGACACTAGGAATGCCGGGCAGGTGGGGAAATCCCAGTTGCTCCTCCTCCGTGCGTAGAAGGGCAGGTCAAGTTACTTACTGGAAATCCAGGGTTGCAACAGACAAAATAAAAGAGATGGCACCGTGCCAGGGTGGAATCCATGCCAGCGACCCAAGAATAACACAGGCACCTAGAGTTGCTCATTGAAACCTGCCAGAAGGGATCCAGAGCAATTGGTTTCTTAGAGGTATCTTCCCATCAAAGCAGACCAGAATAGTCTTGCCTGTCCTGGCGCCTTGGCAGAGTCATTTAGGCTGTTACCTGGTGAGCATGGGCTCCCAGGCAGGGTCAAGTGGAATTGCTTTTGGGGAACAAGGTCTGTTTGCTGCAGATTTTACTCTGGGCCAATAAAAAGTTCACTGGGCTTCACTCCAGCCTCCCTCCCCCGCCTTCTCCAGCTCAGTACAGGATTTCTGACAGCTCGGCTGGAGCCATCTTTGCCCTCTCCCTCTAGGAAGGATGAAGGCATGAGGGGCTTTATTACTCTCCTAACCGGCCGGAGAGAGGAGACGATCCCGTCTCCAGGGGTTTTGAGTGAAACAATAGAACGCTAGAGCAGGGATATAATCTCTGAAAAGCTAGGGCAGGGAGCCAAGCAGCCCCAGAGAAAGGTGGTCAGTTTCTTTTACATTCTTTAGTGCTTCTGCACAAGGGCAACTGCAGGAAGAGGACTGGCTGCGCCTGAAGGATTTTGGGATCAGAGGGCACATGCTCCTCTGCACCATAGGCACAGGTGGCTATTGTGAGTTCAGTGACCTCATGCATATTACCTAGCTATGAATCATGACACAAATTCGACTCCGTTATTACGCACGCACCCCCAGCACCATGCCGTCACCCTCCCCGCAAAGAACCCCACGTCCCGGCAACTTCCATCCTCTGTGCCCCAGGGTGTTTGTCTTGTAGACGATAAGGCCCTTGGGGTAGGGGCTTGTTTTTCCCTCCGTCTGCACCGTGCTGTGCCCGTCTGCTCTGACAAACGAACAGGAACCACGTAAGGCTCCGACGGCACAGGGGAGAGCTTAAGGGAATATTTAACCAAACATTAGGAGCTTACAGCCTGATCCACATTTGGCTTTGAAATCTCAGATGCACGGTGCTGCCAGCTGCCACACGAGGTTCAGCGCAGACTCTGGGTGGATGTGGGTCAGGAATGCAGCGAGCTGGGGGGATTTACATAAGTGATGAATTCCAGTTCTTCACTGTCAGAGCAAAGCATCCTCGGGGCTTTTGATCCTAACATCCCGCTGTGTGTCAGCTCTCTGGCCTGGACAAGCGCTGCAGGAACGGACCATTCGTTGAGAAGCACCTTACCAGGCTTGTGTTAACAAGCACGGGCTACAGACAGCATTTACGTTTACCTTTTACCTGTAACCTTCTGTTGCCAAACCCTGATGCTTGCTTTTAAATCTTTATCCCAAGCTTCGTGAAATGCACTTCTATTTGGTTTTTACCATAACCCCATCTAAGTGCCTTGTGCTAAGTAGGGTGCTGAATTGAGCTGAAACCAGAAAGCTGAGCTGCACTGTTCCATGGAGGCAGCAGACCAGTGCACACTGCGGGTGTCCCACAAGACAGCGGACGGGGCCCGCGAGTGTAACAACGTGGGGGTGTCACTGGGTAGCCTGCAGAGGGAAAGAGCGAGCTCGCGGAGCCCGGAGCGGAGCACCCGTGCTGCCAGCAGCCGGAGGCTGGGGAGAGCGTCCCCTGATGGGCACAGACAGGGCTCCCTCCCACTGTGAGCACGGGACAGTGATTCACAATAGGCACCTCGGGTAAGTTGAAAAAAGTGTCATACGTGGGGCCAGCTAGGAGAGGGCAGTCCTGGGGAGAAGCCAAGCATCTGCCACCAGGGAGCCTGGGGACCAAGTCACCTCCTGGCACCAATGAACCATCTTACTCTGCACACAAAGTCCGCACAAGCCAAGGTCAAAAGAACATTCACAGTGGCCCTTTATTAGCAATAAATCCCCCAAGAAGAGCAGGAAGGTCCACTGCAGTGACGAGGCCACCCCCAGCCCGTCCCTCGGCGCTTCTCTAGGCCAGGCTGACGACTGCTCGCATCCAGGGCACGCCCAACGCACAGACACAGCAGGGGAAGGCAGGTCCCCCCAACCCTTCACCCCAGCAGTGGTTCTCAGCCTGCGGCCCACGGGACATCCTCAGGGCCATACAGGTAGTACTGGATGCAGCCCACAATGGTGAATAGGTTGAGAACTACTGCACCCCAGCACGCATCCTCACAAGCGCATTCTGGGGCAGGCCTGCCACTCTCAAGCCTTAAACCAAGATGTCTCCTTTGCTTTCAGACCAGGAGACAGACCCTCCACCTGCCCCCAGCAAGCCCCAAGCTGTGCACCCGTTTGGCACAGGAAATAAAAGTGCAAGTCCCGTAGTAACAAGGGTCCCGGTTCTGCTACCATCACAGGACGCACGGTCGCTGCCAAATGCAGCTGGAGCCTCGGCCAGTGTGTCTGAGCCTTGGGAAGGTTTATGGCTTTAGAAACTGCAGCTGATTGTCTTTGCAGACTCTGAGCGCTCCGATTCCTTTCCCTAGTGACTGTGCCGCCCCCTTGTGAAGTGATTTTAAAAGTTTGGTCCTCCCCCCACCCCTAGGACCCAGTCCTGCTCCAGTGAAGTGAATGGGAGTTCGGCCATTGCCTTAATCAGTAGCTCAATCAGATCCCCAGTGCAGAAGCAGCCAATACACCTGTGCAGCACTACTGGGGACAGCTGTGGCAAGGAGCTCTTGGCTGGTTCTGCAGATCCACAGCCTGCCCCTAAGCACCCAAGAGCCAAGAACTTTCAACCCCAGAACCCCGGAGTTGAGCGAGAAATGCAACTCAGTTCCTAAAGCACAGCTTCCCCAGACCGCCTCCCTCCACCCCTGGAGGTCACAGGACACAATCTGCTCCTGCAGGGAAGGCAGCATGGAGCAATTGCATTGCATTGACTGACGACTTCTTTCTTTCACCAGAGTGCAGAGGAGCAGAACTAGGCAGGCATCCCATCATGCCTCAGGACCAGATGACCATGAACTGCTCCCCTAGTGGGAGAGAGAGCAGGATACTCAGGATCTGAGGAGACAAGAAGGGAGCTCCATGTCAGTGACAGCCTCTGGGGGCAGGGTGGGTGACAACAGATTGTCTGGGGACCTGCCCTCCATCAGCACCAACTGCATCAGGGCAATGTGAATACCCTCTGCCCCACAGGTGGGCACACCCCGAACACTGCCTGGAGATGCTCTATCTATGGGGTGCAGGGGATGTAATCTTCCTATAGAGTTCTACAGAACTCTCCCTGCGGCACACTTCCAGCCCCGTTAAACACAGACGCCCTAGAGACGGCATCTCATTCACTGCCGAGATCTTCAGAGCGATTCCCAGAGAACCCTTGATCTCATCCCCACTCAGCTCTCGAGGCCCCCCACAAGGATCCCCACAGCCCACCACAAACAGCAGCAGCAAGTTTGACCCCCCAATAACGACATAGCATCAAGACCGACTCCGCTACACACTCCCTGGGGTCTCCACATCTCCCCCAACCCTTTCCATGCCCCTCCCCTCCACGGAGAATCCAGGAACTCAGAACTGATGAGGCCCTGGATTGTTCTATCCTCC